AGATCTTACAGTATGGGGGAGATCTTATGGAGTCTCCCCACCTTAGACCAGACCTTAAGAATGTCCCTGTCCCTGGACCAGTACTTAAGACATTACACAGCAGGAAGCAGGATGAAGCATCCTTTATAATTAGAAATGACATTCAGCCTGACCTCTATTCCTGTGACAACAGAATTAATTACCAGACACCTGGGGCTGCAATCTCTACACATTTATTAAAACAATCTTCATGTCTCTGCCTATAATACTTTCATTGGACTGAGGTCAAGGTGATGACAAGGCCATGTTTTCTCCAGGGTCTCCAGGGCTGCATATGATCTGAGAACATATATTACTCCAAGTTTGTAGATTTGATTAATCATCTGGAAAGAGGATAGTATTTAAAATGGGGCTTTGGGAGATGGTTAGGCCAAGTAAGTGCCCCATAAAGGGTGTTCATGCCTTTCTCAATTTACCCAGAGAGCTTGCTGATTCTTCTACAAGAGGAGGACCCAGCAAGAGCTTGTCTGATATGAACTGGTAAGGGATTCCTCAACATAAGCCACATTGGTGCTGTAACCAAAGGCAAGCCTGGCTGCCCACCACTTCAAATGCCAATGCTCTAGAGTCAGGAGCTGATGTAATGGAGAGTGTTTTTATTCAGGGGCCAGCACCTAGGAAAATGGGAGCCACTTATCCCAGAACCATTAACATCTCATTACAGGCAGGAATTTTTAATAAGCAGGGAGGGTGACAAAAAGATCATGGGGAGTGGATGTGGACATGCAGGCAGCATCCTTCCTTGTCCCAATATGGACCTCTACTATTGTCATTCTGGAACTGGTTGGTGACAAACAACTTTTTGCATTTTGGACGTCTCTGTCACCTGAAACTGGTCAAGTTTGTTTCATGTACGAGCAGGACTGGAATTGGTAGCACATGCAAAATTCTTGCAAATAAGCTGGCCGTATGTGGGATTCTTAGAAGTTAGTAGATATTCTAATTCCATTTAATTGTGAGTCAAGCAGTATAAAGTTACACAAATAATATATCCTTAATCATATTTATTCATGTGTGTCTGCATACACACACACGTGTGTGTAATCTCCTTAACATAATAGTTTAAATTTACTTGAATAGTGTGGCTCAGTGGGTTGAATGCATGACTGTGAGCTGAAGTGTCACAGTTAGATTCCCAGCCTAGGGCACATGCCTGGGTTGACAGCCAGGACCCCAGTAGGGGGTACAAAAGACTGAAACAAACATTGATATTTCTCTCCCTCTCTTTCTCCCTCCCCTTTCCAGCTATGTACAAATAAATAAATAAAATGCGTTTTAAAATTTAAAAAAATCATTTTAGAACCAATCCAAGGTGGCCACTGTCCTGGAGATTGGGGATGGAGATGTGGAAGAGTGTGGGAAGTCTCCCCACATCAATTCACCTTCCCTTTTCCTATAGGATGCAGTGGGCCTGGTCGGGCAGTGGGGAGAAGCAGGTTTGGCTAAGCAAGGAAGGTTCAGTGAACTATGTATTTCAACCTTTATGTCAGAGTTCATACTGGATTGAGAGGGTGGACTGTGCTGTTAGCCCATCTTGTACAGGCAAAGGGACTGTGAGCATTCTAGAGCAAGATTACCTCACAACATTCTTGTTTGTGAATAAGAATAAAGTGAAACATTGTTATTTACAAATTAGAAAAAGAAGAGTGGGTAGGAATCCTTCATGCTGAACTGAAGAATTTGCTCTTTGTTGCTATGATCGGAAGTCATCCAGATGTTACCCAGGGAACATGAGCTCTGCTTACTCCTGCTCACACAAATCACATTCCCTGTGGTCTTTGCTCGCTTAGGGCCTCGTATCAGCAGCACAGAAAGGGTACAGCCCTCAGTCAGGGATGTGGCATTGACAGCGGGCCCCTCCTGAGTGGGAAACTGAGAACAAAGTCAGCCTTCTGCTGGTGTGGACAGTACCATCCTCCATTCCATGGCACCCTCAGTCACTGGTCATTCCTGCCTGGCACTGGGGGTCTCTATAGACAATGGGATGGTGCAGAGTGAGTGAAGCACAGACCCAGGAGATGTGCTTGACCTCACCCCCATGTCCTCTGCATCTCTGACTACTGTGGCTTTGTGACCTGGCTTGTGCATCCATCAGTAACAGAGGATGAGGATGGTGAAAATAAGACCCTCAGATGAGGGTTCATGAGCCTGAACATACAGTGATGACCCAAGAAAGATGCAGATTTGCTCTGAAACCCTTTTCAAGCATTTCTAGAAATCCAGCTCATCACACATTTTATATCTTCAGAAAAATTGAGGACTTTGTACCAGCTGAAAGAGACATGTCAACATCCATAATAAACAGGACAGAGGGTCATTGCTGGAGAGATGGACACAGGTCAAAGGAACAGGCTACATGTGACCTTGGAGGAGGCCAGCTTGGCCTAGGACTGACCCAGAAAGCAGAAACTGAGAAAGTCAATGCATTACTTTTCACCAAAAATTGTTATTAGTTTTGAATTTGAGAAATTCATTAAAAATTCACTGAGGAGCACAAAATGTAAGAGTGTAATAAATATGTGTAATTTACAAGTAATTGAAAAAGAAGATACAACAAAGATTTATTACACATTATCAATATGACTGCCAGAATTATAAAACATTCAACATCAAGAATCAGGTGGAACTGGCCTCCCAATAATTTAGAGATAGGGTCTCAGGTACAAGGAACATCTTGATTAATTAAAGCCAAAAAAATTTGCCCTGGCTGGTATAGCTCAGTGGATTGAGCATGGGCTGTGAACCAAAGGGTCGTCAGTTTGATTGCCCGTCAAGGCATATGCCTGGTTTGCAGGCCAGGTCCCCAGTTGAGGCCACATGAGAAGCAACCACACACTGATGTTTCTTTTCCTCTCTTTCTTCTTCCCTTACTCTCTCTTTTAAAAAATGAATACATAAAATCTTTAAAAACATAAATGGGTGTTCATGAAGGACTGTGCTTATATGGGGTTATATTCACAGCAAGGCTGATGTCACATATCATTTTACAGTCCTGTGCAACCAGGAATTGAATAGGGTTTGAGAAATGCAGAGTTGGACAATTCCATTCAGTATGAATGTCACAGTGTCATTACCCACACCTGGAGGCATCAGCCACTACTGTGACTGCATGGGCTGTGCTGTTACATGACCCAAAGTTCAGTAGGTTAATTTACATGACCACCACCGGTGCACATTCCTGTGAGCAACGTGAGGAACTACCACATTGCAGCAGCGATGACATCCAAGCTGAGAGGGATACTTGAGCTTCACTAGGATCTGATGGGACCACTGCCAGGTGTGTGGTCTCTTGTTGACCAGAAAGCTGCATGTGTGCACCAGTGTAAAGGAAACTATGGATGTAGGACTTTGCAATTACAGGTATATTTAATGAGATGCTTTGGATTTAAAATGATTTCTGGAGAAAATGTTCATCATTTTGAATCCCATCTGAAAGTGGGATATTGGTGACCAGCTATTATTCTCTGGAATTTTTAGTTATGATCAAAGAAGTGAGCACCTTGTGGGGTCTCACTCTGAAGAATGTTTCCCTGTTCTCTGTGGAGCATCTGTCAGGCAGTGAGTCTCTCTGCACGTGACTTTCATCGTTTGTGAATCAGCATTGCTTCTTCTCTCCACAATCACAGGGAAACCACATTGTTCATACAAATGTCAGGGAAATACAGGATATGATCTTGGTGAGAGGGAACTGTCTAGTGAATGTGGAGACAAAACATTGAGGTAAGATACTGATGAATTAAATATAGCTGAAATTAGCCCTGGCTGGTGTGGCTCAGTGGATGGAGTGCTGGCTGCAAACCAAACTGTCAGCAGTTTGATTCCCAGTCTGGGCATATGCCTGCATTATGGGCTAGGTACCCACTAGGGAGCACACAAAAGGCTACCACAAGTTAATGTTTCTCTCCTTCTCTTCCTCCTTTCCCCTCTATCTAAAAATAAATACATGAAATGTTTTTTAAATGTATCCAAAATCAAAATCCTTTGTCCCACCCAGATACTATTAAGGGAATGGAAAGACAAGCATAGAGTGCAGAACATACTTTCAAATGGTATGTCTGAAAATACTGTGTCCTGAATATAGAGGGATTTTCTTGTACAGTAGGGCCCCAGGAACCTCAGGCCACAGGAACTAGCCTTCCCAGGGAGGCTGGAGATGGAGAGGGTTCCTTTGAGGGGCACAGTGAGATTCCCTCTGAGAAAACTATGGACAGGTTTCTCCCCACTCTGCTACCTCTGAACACAGTGGACCCTTAGTGCCAGAATCTGAGAATGTGGAGCATCCACGATTCTCTCACATCCTCTGTTCAGTAATTGGATGTCAATGCATCATAGAGAGGTGTACTGCAGCATTGTTTTTTCTCTGCTGCATAAAAAGTGTGCTTCTGTCTGATGTCATTTGTGAGAGGTCTCTGCTGTGGGCCTTGGTGCATTAACAGAGACTTAACACAAAAAGCCTTGGAAACAAATGCAAGACTCACACAGCAAGGATCAAGGGGCCGCACCCAGCCCATATAGTTATTCATATAAAAGTGGTCACAGCTGTTTGAGTCACAGAAAATGTGGTCTCTGAAGAAACTATCCTTTATGTCAGGATCTTATTTATAAATAACTTGAAACCAACATATTAATAAACATAAAATTATGATTATAGCTATTCCCAATTGTGGATACCAACATGTTTTGTGTTTAAGAGTTTGGGTGAAAGCCAATCCCTTACAACATCTACAAGAAAATAAATGAGATCCCAAACCTCCTTTTGCACGCAAAAGGGTGAGGCCATCCTTTGACCTATTTGCAGTGACTCACAACCTACCTGTCATGTTGTCCCAGGTCACACAGGGCATGTGGTCAGGATATGAGATACCCAGAGGGGAACCTGACTCAATTCCTCCCCACTTATGGGAACTGAGTCCCCCACATGCAAATCTCTCCCCAGCTCCAGGGTAAGAACTCCCCTGGGCTGTGAGACTCATCATTCTCTCTTCACACGGGGCTGAGGTCTCTGGGGAAGGCAGAGCTGTGCTCTAGAGAAGATGCGACTGCTGGGTCTCCTCCTGTGCCTGGTGACAGCCCCCCAGGGTGAGTGTCTCACATGTAAAGACATAGGTCTCTGAGATGGTGGTGACTATACATGATTGACAGGAACTGATGTCCCTTGTTTCCAGGTGTCCTGTGCCAGTTGCAGCTGCAGGAGTCGGGCCCAGGGCTGGTGAAACCCTCAGAGACCCTTTCCCTCACCTGCACCGTTTCTGGTGGTTCAGTCACCAGCAGTAACTACTGGAACTGGATCCGCCAACGTCCAGGGAAGGGGCTGGAATGGATGGGGTACTGGACAGGGAGCACAAGTTACAACCCAGCTTTCCAGGGCCGAATCTCCATCACTGCTGACACATCCAGGAACCAGTTCTCCCTGAAACTGAGCTCCGTGACCACAGAGGATACAGCTGTGTATTACTGTGCAAGTGACACAGTGAAGAAAAGTCAGGGTGAACCCATACACAAACCTCCTTGTGGGAGGCAAGAGGCTCTCAGGACACAAGGGGGTGCTCAGGACATAGCAGTCAGGGCATCCATGACAGGAGGAGGTGAAGGTGGAGGCTAGGCCCTGGGTTAGTCTATAATCTGATTTTCCCCTTCATCTGACATCAATTTCTGTGTCTTCTCCAGAGTCTCCAACAGGACACCAACAGGAAAGACAACTCAGCAGCAAATGGAAGCTCCCAGGGCTCACCTGCCACCAGAGAGCAGAGCATTCACCAGTACTGACAAAGAAGAAAGGCCTAGTGATGGGGGTGGTAATTGTCCCACCACCATGCACACAGCATGGTAGGCTGCAACCACGGTGTGAACCCTGGGTGGTTTCTTCTTAAATTAGCTTCAGATGAGAAGTTTGATGATGCCCAGACAGTAAAGGATCAGATGAAGCTCTGACTTGACCAAGGTCTCAGGAGGGCCAGGCAAGTCTCTCCAGTAGGAGTGAAGTAGCTTCAGAAAGGCAGACCAAGAGCTTGCCTTAGTGCTTTTGTGGTCATAGAGTATGGGTTATCATGTTGACAGGGACTTGAGTGGATTGATTCTCCCACCAGGGACAAAGGTGTGATAACTCAGGCTTTTTTAACTCACCAAGTCCATATGAGGGCAGATGTTGATGGGGGAGTTGAGACTTGAAAGCTCCCACACATCCAGCCTCAAAACCTGAAGTCAAAACTCAGAGTCCACCTACCAACAGCAATAATAAGGAAAAGAGAGGTTGTCAGGCACTGGGATGTATAGCATCTGGGACTGTGAGCAAGCAGGTAAGAAAACACCAGGGATTGGATAGGGGTCTGATGAGACATCCTGAGTGTCATTTTCCACTGTCTGTGATTTTTCTCACTTCACAGAAGGAGCTGCCTGCTTCCATAGACTGCAGCTTCTGGAGGGTCCAAGAGTCCTGAGTTAGACGTCCTGCACTGGATCCTTTATCATAGGAGAGCAGTTCACATTTGCTCCGTGAGATGTAAAGTGTGAACCCAGGAACTACACTGACGTTTTTCTGTGTCCTTTGTCATTAACTAACACAATAATGTCTCCCCATGATCTTCATCGGTCATTTCCCCTGAGTCCTCTTTCAGCAGATGAATCTCCTAGTGGAAGATAATAAAGACGCTATTGAGGATGACATGTGGGGAAGGTCTTCTGAGTCTGTTGAGAGTGTGGGATACCTGGGTCATTTAACAGTTAATATGTGGGTTCACTTAACTAGTAGTGTCGTCCTATTTGTTTAAACTTTATCTGTGAGTTTCCATGATTGAATTTGAATTTAGTGAGCTGGACTAGGAACATTGCCCTCCCTAATGTGTGCACCCTGCTCAATTGTAAAAGGGGACCAATGTGACCCTCCTGTCTCATAGCCTTGGAACTGGAGTGTCCACAAGAGCTTTGTTCTGACACCAGCTCCCATGGTACATGGGATCCTCCTGTGTCTCACACCTGACGTCCTTGGACTGGAACTAATCTTGAGACACTTCTGTAACCCTCTCACTACCCTTGGTCCTTGAATCCCCCTGAACTTCATTCTCTCAGAATCTGTTATTTCCTCAGAGTCACAGTGCAGAGGTGGGGTGTGTGCCCCTGTCCCAGGAAGTCCAGGCTGAGGCAGGTGGGACTTGGAGGTGGACCTGGTCCTGGTCAGACCCAGAGCTGCATCAGCCCAGCCCCAATAACACAGGCTGTGTCTCCACCTCTCCATCTCCCCTTTCTTCTAGTCCTGCTGCTTCCAGGATGGGCAGGAGACCATGACAGGGGACCACAAGCATACTATGGAAATCATTATCTTTGTCTTAACAGTATAGCCTATGGTCATGGTTGCTTCCTGTCCACTTCCTTTCATAATGTGTTAACCTTATTCATAGAAGTTTGTTGTTCCCATTTCCTGTGGCCTTTCTGATCAGAAAAACATCAAAAACATCTGTTTACAGCAACCAAATTCTTATGAAAACAAGAGATGGAATAGGATACTCACTAACAACATCTGTTCCATCCACTCCACAAAATGTCACTCCCCCTAAAAGGAAGATAATGTGGACAAATGCAAGAACATGCATGAGCCTTGGAGACACAAAGCTTAGAGAAACACACCCCTCTCAGAATCACGAAGGCTGTGTGCTTCCACATCTGCGAGAGCCAGAGTGGTCAAGTATGATCATTGTGCACTGCATAAGTATAAGGTGGACAATGTAATAACTGCACTTACATATCTGATTATTAATACCCATCATTTCATGTAGACACAAATAAGTAAAAAGGAAGAGAATAAAAGAATATAGAGGAAGAAGAGGGTAAATGTTGGTTTTCTTGTAATGAAAGCTGTTAAGATCTCTCATTAGCAACTTCCACACATGTCATAGAGCAGTTTTAAATTTACTCATCATGCCATCAATTAAATCCCAAGGACTTAGTTATCCCACATCTAGAAGTGTATACCCTCAGATCATCAACATCTGGTCCTCCTCTTGCTCAACCCATTTTCTGCTCACCACAAATATGATCTTTTTAATATTTTTTAAATTCACATACAAGTGAAATCACATAGTATTTTTCCTTCTGTGTCTCACTTACTTTCACTACCATTATGGCCTCAAGGTCCATTTTCTATTGTCATTAATGTAGAATTTTCATTTTTTAATGATTTTATTTATGCACATTTAGAGAGAGAGTAATGAAGGGGGAAAGAGAAGGATAGAGACGGCAATGTGTGGTTGCCTCTTGTGTGTCTATTACTGGAGACCTGGACAGCAACCCAGGCATGTGCCCTGACCTGGAATCAAACCAGCAACCGTTGGGTACCCAGACTGTCACTTAATCCACTGAACAACACAGGATGGAGCAGATTTTTAAAATTTTTTTGGCAAATAATATTCCAATATGAATACTTTCTTCGTCCATGTCTTGGCTGCTGTATATAATGTGACAATCAACATGGAACAACAGATAAGTCTTTTATAATTGCATTTTTTTCTTTGGATACACACTTGGAGGTGGAATTTCTGGGTAATGAGGCAGTTTAGTTTTAATTTTTTGAGGAACATCTATATTGTTCTTCCTCAGTACGTGTACCAATTCACATTTCCACTAATAAAGAGGAGGGTTCCACTGACTGCATGTATTTACCATCCCTTCTAGTCTCTTGTTTATGTTCAAAATGTTTTCTCATTTGGATATTTGATGTTGAATTGTACTTCTTTTTTATCATTTTATTTTTTATGGATTATTTATTTATTTATTTAATATTAAATTTTATTTACTTACTTTTCAAGTACATTTTTTTATCTATTTCTCCCATCCCACCCCACCCCCCCGCCCAGTCTCCCCCCTCCCTCCCATTCCCCCCCCCCCAGTCCTCATCTCTGTGTCTTTCATACTTGTTCCTCAAAATCCCTCCCGCTTTTTCCCCTTAAGTTCCCTTCCCTCTCCCCTCTGGTCGCTGCCCACTTGTTCTCTATTTCAGTGTATTTGTTTTTATTCTGTTGAATTGTACTTCTTTTTACACTCTGGATGTTAATGTGTGATCAAATATATGATGCAAGGACTTCTGCCAAGATGGAGGCATAGGTGGAGAAGCCATGCTTTCTCTCACAACCACGTTTAGAGACAACTAAATATTAGCAACAGAAAACACAGTCAGACACAGAAAATTGAACTTTTCGGAAGTCTGAAAACAACAAATTCTTCAGCCTGACCGGTAAGAGGGGCAAAACCAGCAGCTGGTGGAGCCGGGATGCACAGAAAAACTCGCTCAGTCAGACTGAGGCGCGCGGAACCCAGGCGCAGGGTTGGACCTAGTAAGCGACTCAGCAAGCGACCACGGGGAAACAGCGAGGGGGCAGGGCTGCAGGTTGACTGTGGTCGCGCTTTCCTGTGTGGATAGACAAGGGAGGGAGTGGGCGGTGAGACTATGGGACTGAGCAGGCCTCACCGCGAGCTGTAGTAGAGGGCGTCGCCATTTTCCCCTGTGACCCCGCCTCCACATACAGCGTCATAACCTAGCAACCTGAGAGTCCAAGGCTCCGCTACTCATACTTAACGAGCGAGAACAGACCAAAAATGGTGCAAGAAGATCTCAAAGCCCCAGAGCCTATAAATCTAAGCGATGAAGAAATAGCAAAACTCTCAGATGCACAGTTTAAAACACTGGTGATCAGGATCCTCACAGAACTGGTTGATTATAGTCACAAATTAGACAAACATATGAAGGCAAAACTAATTGAAATGAATGGAATTGCACAGGAAACCAATACCGATGAAAAAGAAACAGGGACTCAAATCAATGGAGTGGACCAGAAGAAAGCAAATAATGGCCAAACAGAAAAGAGTCAAAAAGCAAGAATTCAAAAAAATGAGAAGAGGCTTAGCAACCTCCAGAACAACTTTAAATGCTCCAACATCCGAATTATAGGGGTACCAGAAGGGGGAAAGGCACAGCCACCAGTGGAAAACTTATCTGAGCAAATAATAAAGGAGAATTTGCCCAATCTGGCAAAGGAAATAGACTTCCAGGAATTCCAGGAAGCTCAGAGAGTCCCAAAGAAGTTGGACTGAAGAAGAAACACACCAAGGCACATCATCATTACATTAGCCAAGATTAAAATGAAGGAGAGAATCCTAGAAGCAGCAAGAGCTAAGGGGACAGTCACCTACAAAGGAGTTCCTATCAGACTGTCAGCTGATCTCTCAAAAGAGACCTTACAGGCAAGAAGGGGCTGGAAAGAGGTATTCCAAGTCATGAAATCCAAAGACCTACAACCAAGATTGCTCTATCCAGCAAAGCTTTCATTTAGAATGGAAGGACAGATAAGGTGCTTCTCAGATAAGATCAAATTCAAGGAGTTCTTCATCACCAAGCCCTTATTATATGAAATGTTAAAGGGACTTACCTAAGACAAAGAAGTTAAAAAAACATGAACAGTGAAAGGACAACAAACTCACAGTTATTAACAACCACACCTAAAACAAAAGCAAAGTAAAAGGACAGCTAGATCAGGAGTGGAAACATAGAAATGAAGATTTCAAGGAGGGTTAGAAACAGGGGAGTGGGAGAAGGAGAAGGGGAGAGAAGGTACAGAAAATAAGTAGCATAGACAGTAGATAGAAAATAGATGGGGGGCAAGAATTGTATTGGAATATAGAATCTAAAGAACTTGAGACACATGGTAATAAACTAAAGGGGGGTAATGGTGGGGACGGGGGGTAGGGTGAAGGGGAATAAAGGGGGGAATAGAACAACTGTAATGGCATAATCAATAAAATTTTGTTAAAAATCAAGAGAAAAATATATATGACACAAATATTTCTCCATACTTAGCTTGTATTTCACTTTGTTGATGATACTATTTTCATGCACACATGAGGTTCAGTTTAATGGAACCAAAATTGTCTGTTTATTCTTTTTTAAAAGATTTTATTTATTTATCTTTAGAGAGGAAGGGAAGAAGAGAAGGAGAGAAACATGAATGTATGGTTGCCTCTGTGGGTCCCATGCTGGAACTGGCCTGCAACCCAAGCATGTGCCCTGACTGGGAATTGAACTACAATCCTTTGGTTCACAGGCCCACGCTCAATTCACTGAGTTACACCATCCAGGGCCTGTTTCTTCTTATTTACTGTGTTTTTATGGCATGGTGAATAAAACATCTCAGCCACTGAGATGTCCTTGCCCTGTAAGTCCAGACAGCACCACCCCCTATAGTGTGCAGTCTGGGCTTCAGGGTACACATGAGACCCATGAGCTCAGGGGGGCTCCTTCAGGTATAGAGGGATCAGGTACAGAGGGAGCTGAGTGTGGGGGCGACTACTTCGTGAGTCCTCCCAGTCCCACGGACATGCACGAATGAGTAAATATGTTGCTGAGACATGCTGGATCTGTTTGGGAATGGAGGAGCGGGCTGTGGCCAGTTTTTCAGGGGAGACAAAGGCCAG